AGCTTTTAAATCTGGATTTCTCTATTTGTACCTTTTTGTATCATGATTGAATATTTGCGGATTTATGTTTTGTAACTATGATTCTTATAATTTTTTTGATAATTGTAACTCTGAATATTTGTAGCTATGGGTGTTTTGGAAACCCATAGCTAGTTGTATGCGGTAGTTACCGGGATACATTAATATGAATTATGATTTTCTGTAAAATGAACGTGTATGTGGATATTGCGTTGTGGAATGAATTGAATAAGAAAGAGGGATTAAAACGAGGTTGTTGAATTTATGATTATAACTTATAGGAAAATGTATGTGAAAGGAATAAAATAAGGAAAAAATTTCAAGGGTAAAATTTGGGTCCTTACAATATGGTATCAGAGCATAGTTAATCATGCGGCATAAGGTATGACCTTATGTGCTTCTTCGTGACTTTTATATGATTAAATTACATGATGTGTACAAACTGCTGTGTGACTTTGTGATTCTTGTCTGATTACAATTTTGATGTATTGACAAGTGAATGAGTACAAGTACACATGGCTGGGAGAGGAAGAGGAACGAGTCAGAATCTGCCGAATGATTTGTTGGCTCAGATGGAGGCTGCCTTGCAACATGTTAATGAGAACTTGCATAACCTGAACCAGAATCCAACACCGAGTCCGAGTTCGCAACCCTTAGTCCCACCCGAACCGGTAGAATACAGAGGTCTGGATGAGTTCTGCAGGAGGAACCTTAGTCAGTTCCAAGGTGGGTTTGCTCCTGATGCTGCCATTGAATGGGTCCAAGGATTGGAGAGGATCTTCAGGTCCAAGAGTTGTTCTAATGCTCAGAAAGTGGCATATGCCACCTATACGCTAGTAAAGGAGGCTGAAAACTTGTGGGAGATCTGGAGGCAAATGGAGACGGAGGGGAAAATCATTAACTAGGAGGCCTTCAAGGGCAAGTTCCTTCAGAAATACTTTCCTGCAGACTTGAAGAGGAAAAAGGAGGTGGAATTCTTGCAACTAGAGCAAGGGAGTTTGACCGTGGGGGAGTACGCGGCCAAGTTCGAGGAATTGGCCCAGTATTGCCCATATGTCGAATTTGAGGTAGACGGGAGGTCCAAATGTGTCAAGTTCGAGATGGGTCTGAAACCTGAGTTGAAGGTGATGTTTTGCCACCAAGAGATTTCTGACTTCCCTACACTGGTGAACAAGTGTAAAATGTTTGAGGATGATGTGCGAGTGAGGGACGCTGCAACTGGCAAGGTGAACCCTCCTCGAAACTATGGGTCTCAACGCAACTTTGTGCAAGGAAGGGGTAAGGAGAAAGTGGCCGAAGACCGACGACCTTATGGGCCACCTAGCAACCACCGCACTCGTCGTCCTCAAAGGCCAGCCACCACCAATGTTGCAGGGGGATCAAACTCCTATCCTATGTGCAAAAAATGTGGTCAAGGACACTATGGAAATATTTGTCCCAGATCGGGGAATGGATGCTTCCATTGTGGAGGACAAGGACATATCAAGAGATATTGTCCGAAGTTATGGCACAGTGTGAATTCTGTGAAGGCTGAACGACCTTGATCCACGGGCAGAGTATTTACCATGAGTGGTGCAGAGGCATCAAATGTTGATGGTCTGATCCAAGGTAATTGTATGGTGGCAGATATTCCTCTTTTAGTGTTGTTTGATTCGGGAGCAACACACTCATTTGTATCTGTTGAATGCGTGGATAGACTGAAATTGCAAACTGAGTCGTTGTCTTTCGACTTGGTCGTATCCACCCCAACTAGTGTGCTTGTGGTTGTGTCGACGGTTGTGTCTCGATGTCCGGTAGTGGTAAACGATAGGACATTTACCGTGGATTTAATCTGCTTACCACTATCCTAGTTAGATCTAATTCCGGGGATGGACTGGTTATTAACCAATCATGTGATGCATAATTGTGCTGATAAGACTGTTGTGTTTGGAGATCTACATGAGATTTTTGATGAGACTGGTTGTATGCAGCCGTTGTCGGCTAAGGGAGTCAGAACTTCCTTTAAGGAGGGAGGGGCCGTGTTTGTTTTGTTGGCATCCCTGAAGGATATTGAGAAACCCAGAGTTGAGGATGTTCTGATAGTTCGTGAATTACGTGAGGTATTTCCTGGGGATATTTTGGAATTGCCTCCAGTCAGAGAAGTTGAATTCTCTAATGATTTGGTACCTAGAACGGGACCCATCTCTATAGATCCTTATAGGATGGCACCGTTAGAACTGGATGAGTTGAAAATGCAGGTTGGAGACTTGTTCGCAAAGAAGTTCATTTGTTCTAGTGTTTCACCGTGGGGTGCACCGGTCTTGTTGGTCAAGAAGAAAGATGGGAGTATGAGGTTGTGCACCGATTACATGCAGTTAAACAAGGTGACTATCAAGAACAAATATCCTTTGCCTAGGATTGATGACTTGATGGATGAGTTGAGAGGAACAGTTGTGTTTTCAAAGATTGACCTTCGGTCAGGTTATCACCAACTTCGGGTCAAATCGGAGGATATTCCTAAAACTGTTTTTAGGACGAGGTATGAGCATTTTAAGTATTTGGTGATGCCCTTTGGTGTAACGAATGCCCCAGGAATAGTTATCGACTACATGAATCGAATTTTTCACCCGTATTTGGATTCATTCGTAGTGGTATTTATTGATGACATTGTGGTTTACTCCAAGAGCCGAGAGGACCATGCGGAGCACCTGGGAATTGTTCTGGATCTTCTGAGTAAGAATCGGTTGTATACCAAATTGTCCAAATGTGATTTCTGGTTGGAATCGGTAAATTTTCTTGGGCATGTAATATCCAAGGAAGGGGTAGAAGTAGACCCTTCTAAGGTCGAAGCGGTTATGGAATGGGCGGTGCCCAAGTCAGTTACTGAGATCAGGAGTTTTCTGGGTTTGGCTGGTTACTACAGAAAGTTCATAGAGGGGTTTTCCAAGTTGGCATTACCCCCAACCAAACTTACCCGGAAAGGGGAACCATATGTGTGGACGATCCATTGTAAAGAAAGTTTTCAAGAGTTGAAGCGGAGGTTGACTACGGCACCGGTGTTGGTTATTCCTTGAACGGATCGTGATTTCATTGTGTATTGTGATGCTTCTAAGCAAGGTTTGGGTAGTGTGTTGATGCAGGACGAGAAAGTGGTTGCTTATGCTTCGCGACAGTTGAGAACGCATGAGCAAAACTACCCTACACACGATTTGGAATTAGCTACAGTGGTCTTTGCCTTAAAAATCTGGAGACACCATCTTTATGGCGTAAGGTTTGAGGTGTACAGCGACCACAAGAGTTTGAAGTATCTGTTTGTTCAAAAGGAACTGAACATGAGACAAAGAAGGTGGATGGAATTCCTTAAGGACTATGATTTTGGATTGCAATACCATCCGGGAAAGGCCAATGTGGTGGCCGATGCTTTAAGTCAGAAGTCTTTACACATGTCGACTTTGATGGTTTGAGAAGGAAAACTGATTGAGGAGTTCAGGGATATGAACTTGGAAGTTCAAATAAGATCTCATAGTATGATGTTAGGAATGCTTAAGGTCACAAATGAACTGTTTGACCAAATCCGATTGATGCAAGTTGAGGATAGTGAGCTAATGGTTAAGCAAGATTTGATTATGAGTGGGAAGGAGACCGATTCCGCATCGGATCCTAGTGGGATGTTGCGTTACAAAGGGAGAGTGTGTGTGCCTCGTGATGTGGAGTTGCGAAAGAGTATTCCAGAGGAGTCACACAAGAGTAAAATGAGTTTTCACCTGGAGACTACGAAGATGTACCAAGATTTGAAAAAGTTGTTTTGGTGGTCTGAGTTGAAAAAGGATGTGGCATTGTATGTCTCGAGATGTCTTGTCTGTCAGAGAGCCAAGATTGAGCATCAACGGCCAGCGGAAGAGTTACAGTCACTAGAGATTCCCGTGTGGAAGTGGGATAGTATCTCTATGGATTTTGTATCGGGTTTTCCAAAGACTCAAAAAGGGTATGATTTGATATGGGTAATAGTGGATCGGTTGACTAAGTCTGCACACTTTTTACCTATGAACATGAGATATTCCTTAGAGCGATTGGCAGAACTGTATATCAAAGAGATTGTCCGGTTGCATGGGATACCGTCGAGCATTGTGTCAGATAGGGATCCCCGTTTCACTTCAAACTTTTGGACTAGTTTGCAGTCCACATTGGGAACTAAGTTGAAATTGAGTTCAGCTTATCATCCACAAACGGATGGTCAATCGGAAAGCACTATACAGACATTGGAGGACCTTTTGAAGGCTTGTATTTTGGAACAACCGGGAAGTTGGGATAACATGTTGCCTTTGATTGAATTTACCTACAACAATAGCTTCCATTCGAGTATTGAAATGGCACCATATGAGGCATTGTATGGTAGGAAGTGCCGAACTCCAGTGAGTTGGTTTGAAACTGGGGAGAACTTAGAATTGGGACTCGAGTTGGTCCGAGAGATGACGGAAAAGATTAAGAAAATCCAGGATAATATGAGAATAACACAGAGTCGACAGAAAAGCTATTATGATAAGAGGCGGAAACCTCTTGAATTTAAGGAAGGAGATCATGTATTCATGAGAGTAGTTCCGACTACTGGGATCGGTAGAGTGTTGAAGTCTTGTAAGCTTACTCCGAGATTTATTGGGCCATATCAGATGTGAACACTCAATTTTGTCCGACATATGTGCAGTAGTTCCAAACTCAAGAATTTCATGTCAAAAAGCGCATATTTTTTTTCATATAATTCAAAACCAACTATATCTCATTCAATTATTCAGTCCTACGACTAAACAGTTACAAAACCTATGTTATCGGTAAAATTATATTAAATAGACTACTTTGAAGCTAATTTGTGGTTACATATTCTTTTTAAAAGAAAACTTATAACATAGATAAAATGGTGGTAGTGATTGTTATTATGGCCTTCTTTTAATTATTGAGATGTAAAAAGAGAGAATTGAAATGGTTTTAAAGAGATATAATTTGCAAAGGAAAGGTAAACTGTTGAAAGATTTTATTGCCGGTTACCAACATCTATGATGGTTTATTGTAGTAACTCGTCCAACGTATATTTACCACTTACATAATTAACTACACAATAATTACAAATACTTCCATGTGTACATCTTCTTGGTATGAAGTGAGCATCCTCTTCCATTCACGGCTTTGGCCTTTTCAAAGAACTACTCCCATAACTCAATAGATTGAAGCAGTTTCTATTATTCTGCCAGAAAAAAAAATAAGATTTCAAAAGCCAAAAAGAAACAGTTTATCAATTAGCAAATGACAATAAGAAGGATGGAAAGGCTGGTCAAAAGTCACAAACAAGAACTCAAAGATGGCAACATGGACAGGCATAATCAGAAACTTCAGTTACACTTGCAATAAATTAGTAGTTTTGATTAGTGTTAAAAAGGGGTAATCAAGCAATTGACAGGTGAGTCTATTGTCAGCTGAAAGGACCTTATAAATCAATTCCCAACCCACTCAACTATAAAATGAAGGCAAAATCAGACAGAGAAGGGAGACTTAACCACATAACAATACACATACTCTGATATCAAACAAGAAGTCAATATATACATATACTGTGGATTCAGAAAAATTCCCATAACCATAGCTTCCATCCAGAGAATTCTTATCTTCCTTATCCATCTATATACATATCACATATACATATACATCTACAACGTCAAGCTACCTATCCATACACAACAAAACTGAAATCAAAGAGAGAAAATCAGACACACATACTTAGACATATATTGGCATATGCAATACACCACAAAATTCCATCAGAAAGCCTACACTCCTACACCATACAATTCCATCAGACATACACCAACAAATCCAGGAAAAAGCCTCTACTAACAGTGTTTACAATCTTCATTGTTCATCATATAGCTAAATAGAGAATCACACACAGGAGAGGCATAACTACAGGTTCTATCATATATCATACATATTACATCAACAAGCAAGAACAGGCAAGATAAGGATCCGGCAAGGATAACACCAACAAGGTCACATACTAAGACATACGGTCTCCGAAATCTTTGGGTTTGCCGGAAACGATATCCATTCGTGAATGAGAATCGGAAACGGGAAATAGAGATATGGAGAAGATGATGGTTACCTATTCTTTAAACCACCATGGTAGAGATGCTCACTCGCCAATGACCCTCTCTGTTGCCGCTGATGGAGAAAACGAAACGGAGAAGACCAGAGCAAACCCGCTCCTCCATTGCTACGGCTGCTGCTTCTTCCTTCTCCATGGCCGCTGCCGCTGGAATCGGGAGAGAGGGGAAGAGGATCTAGGGATTTCGAATCCCCCTTGGTGAGAAATGAGGGTAACCAAATAACCTCTCTCTGCCAAATTCATTCCATTCTCTTTTCATTTGTTTTATTTCATTTCAATTCTTTAATTGCACCTTTTGCTTCTTATTTTTACATTTTTTATGTTTATTTCATTAATCCTAACAAATGCTTGTTTTGGCAAATTACATTAAAATGAAAGATAATCATATATTTGGTATCACATATCTTGTATTATTTGGAAAAGATAATTACTAAAATGAATTTCAGTGGACTTTTTATAGTAAGGTTGTGGCTCGTGTTGTCTCTAAATTCTCTGAAAATTGGAAGGAGGTCTACGACCAGTGCCGTCTCTAAACTATTAATTTCATATCAAATATTCCAAAGCAAAATTATTGTATTATTTACTCAAATGACTTTAAATGGAGTTTTATAGTAAGGTTAGGGTCCGTGTTGTCTCTAAATTCTCTGAAAATGGGAAGGAGGTCTACGACCAGTGCCGTCTCTAAACTATTAATTTCATATCAAATATTCCAAAGCAAAATTATTGTATTATTTACTCAAATGACTTTAAATGGAGTTTTATAGTAAGGTTAGGGTCCGTGTTGTCTCTAAATTCTCTGAAAATGGGAAGGAGGTCTACGACCAGTGCCGTCTCTAAACTATTAATTTCATATCAAATATTTCAAAGAAAAATTATTATATTATTTACTCAAATGACTTTAAATGGAGTTTTATAGTAAGGTTAGGGCTCGTGTTGTCTCTAAATTCTCCAAAAATGGGAAGGAGGTCTACGACCAGTGCCGTCTCTAAACTATTAATTTCATATCAAATATTTCAAAGCAAAATTATTATATTATTTACTCAAATGACTTTAAATGGATTTTTATAGTAATGTTATGGCCCGTGTTGTCTCTAAATTTTCCGAAAATTGGAAGGAGGTCTACGACCAGTGTCGTCTCTAAACTATTAATTTTATATCAAATATTTTAAATAAATTTATTCAAATGATTTAAAATGGAAATTTTTATAGTAAGGTTATGGCCCGTGTTGTCTCTAAATTCTCTGAAAATGGGAAGGAGGTCTACGACCAGTGTCGTCTCTAAACTATTAATTCCATACCAAAAATATTTCTGTAAAAACTTATTTTATTACTCAACCAAATCAATACTTTCAAATCAACGAAATCAACCAATTAATTTTCGAACCAGAACTATGTAGCCTTGATTTCCCTATTGCACCGAGGGATACGTAGGAGCATGACGAACTTTTGTCAGGCACAACAATAAAAAATAAAACATTTTGCTTTTTATTACTGAATTTAAATAAATAATTTTAAGGGTATAAAAGTCCATGTTATTAGCGAGGGTACCGTTTTAATACAGGCGGACGGGGTGCTAATACCTTCCCCGATCCGTAATCGACTCCCAAGCTCAGAATCTCTATTCAAAGACCAAATTGTCCAAAATGGGCATATAGAGAGTTTTCTACGTTTTAACCGCAAAAAACGTAGTGGCGACTCCAAATCAATTGGAAGAGGTAGAAATCGAGTTCGCCTCTCCCTAAGTCGCAAGGCCGGTCTTCTAACCGAAAATCGGGTCGCAACATCAGATGTTGAAGAAGATTGGGCCGATAGCATATCGGGTTGCTTTACCTCCATTATTGTCGAATCTTCACAATGTGTTTCATGTGTCTCAATTGCGGAAATATGTGGGGGACCCTTCTCATGTGGTTGAGTCGAATCAAATAGAGTTGAAGGATAACTTAACCTTCGCGAGCCTACCCGTGAGAATCTTGGACACTAGTATCAAGTGGTTGAGAGGTAAGGAGATTGCCTTGGTGAAAATACTATGGAGTCAAGTAGATGAAGTGGATGCTACTTGGGAAGTGGAGCAAGATATGAGGGAAGATTTCCCTCACTTGTTCGAATCGAGGTATGTTTAATTTTTGGGGACGAAAAATTCTTATAAGAGGGGGAGGATTGTGACACCCTAAATTTAAAGTCATTAAATTATAGTATCAGTCCTGGAGGGCGAGAGTGGCTCACTTGGGTGAGTGAAATCCTAGGCTATACTGAAGGATTCTCGCTTGAGCGAGACTGGTCTCGCCTGAGCAAGAGTTGCCTTGCCTGGGCGAGAAATGGCCCTCTGAAGCTGTAGAGGCTGTGAGATTCTCGCTTGAGCGAGAGGACCCTCGCTTTGGCGAGAGGGTCAGATATGAGTTTTTAAAATGGGCGGGATTTTCTCGCTTGAGCGAGAACCCGGCGCTGTTACATTAAATAAGGAACCCACAACACATTTTAGGGTTAGAAATTGAAGAGAAGTGAGAGAAGAGAGCATTTTCAAGAGCATGAGAAGAGGTAAATCTCTTGTATGGTAAATCTCCTTCTCCCTTTGAAACATGTTTTGGGTATGATGGGTCTCTTCTCAAAATGTTAGATACCATGGAAATTCATCATTTTGAGTTATGGTTCGTTTTATGTTGTTTTTCTCTTGTAAACTCTTGATTTAGAGTTGGTATTCAAAGAATGGAGATGGTTTGTGGGTTGGTTCATGAAAACCCCAAAAACCTAGAATGAAAATGTGGTTAAAGAGAAAATGGGTGAAATGTTAGATGTAATAGATGAGTATGTGCACTAATGTTGAAATATGAGATGAATATGTATGTTTTAGATGTTTGGAAACTCTTAATGAAAGTAGTTTGGAAATATTGAAAATGTGTGAATCTCTTGTATGGTTTAAGAAGAAGTATAAGTTGTTTATGTGTAACTTGAATAAATGACTAACATTGTTGTTATATGGTGGGGATGAGGAAAGATCCTAAGTTTGGAGGCGGCGTCGGTGGAACTTGCAAGGTTACCAAGGACAAAACCCAACACTCATCAAGGTAAGGATAAGCATTTTATTTCGAGATATGCAATATGAGATATGCGGTTCTATGTGGTTGACTCGAAAGGAATATGATGTGGAATGTATCAAAGAAATTTGTATGTCTTGCCCAAGTGGTAATGGATTGAATGTCTTGCCTTAGTGATAATGGATTGAATGTCTTGCCTTAGTGGTATTGAATTGAATGTCTTGCCTTAGTGGTAATGAATTGAATGGCTTGCCTTAGTGGTATTGAATTGAATGTCTTGACCAAGTGGTATTGAATTGAATATCTTGCCCAAGTGGTAGTGAATTGAAAGTCTTGCCTACGTGGTATCGAATTGAATGTCTTGCCTAAGTGGTATTGAATTGAATGTCTTGCCTTATTGGTATTGAATTAAATGTCTTGCCTAAGTGGTATTGAATCGAATGTCTTGCCTAAGTGGTATTGTGGAATTATGTGTTAGTGGGAAATGGCTATGTAACATGGGAATGAAAAAAAGGATTAACAAGGTTTGACATGGAAGAACTGGAAAGTAAGATGGTCGTGTGATGTATTAAGATATAATATGAAATGCAATGGTTTATGTTGAAATGCTTAATTTGTTATCTAACTCTGTTTAAATCTGGATTACATCAAATGATATTTATTGAATTAAATGACTTACTCCTTTGTACGTTTGTGTGTTGCCATTTTATAATCCCATTGCAGGTAATTAGATGAGTCAAGGACGCTGGATTTGGAGCCATAGGAGCTTTTAAATCTGGATTTCTCTATTTGCACCTTTTAGTATCATGATTGAATATTTGCGAATTTATGTTTTGTAACTATGATTCTTATAATTTTTTTGATAATTGTAACTCTGGATATTTCTAGCTATGGGTGTTTTGGAAACCCATAGCTAGTTGTATGTGGTAGTTACTGAGATACATTAATATGAATTATGATTTTCTGTTAAATGAACGTGTATGTGTATATTGCGTTGTGGAATGAATATGAATAAGAAAGAGAGATTAAAACGAGGTTGTTGAATTTGTGATTATAACTTATAGGAAAATGTATGTGAAAGGAATAAAATAAGGAAAAAATTTCAAGGGTAAAATTTGGGTCCTTACAGTGTGAATGCTGTGAGGGCTGAACGACCTTGATCCATCGGCCGAGTATTTACAATGAGTGGTGCAGAGGCATCGGATGTGGATGGCCTGATAAAATGTAATTGCATGGTGGTAGGTATTCCTCTTTTAGTGTTATTTGATTCGGGAGCGACATACTCCTTTGTATTTGTTGAATGCGTGGATAGACTGAAATTTTAAACTGAGTCGTTGCCTTTCGACTTGGTCGTATCCACCCCAACTAGTGTGCCTGTGGTGGTATCGACGTTTCTGTCTCGATGTCCGGTAGTGGTAAACGGTAGGACATTTACCGTGGATTTAATCTGCTTACCACTGTCCCAGTTAGATCTAATTCTGGGAATGCACTGGTTATCATCAAATCATGTGATGCTTAATTGTGCTGATAAGACCATTGTGTTTGGAGATCTGAGTGATATTTCTGATGAAACTTATTATATGAAGCCGTTGCCGGCTAAAGGAGTCAGAACTTCCTTTGAAGAAGGAGGAGTCGTGTTTGTTTGTTGGCATCCCTGGAAGGTATTAAGAAACCCAGAGTTGAGGATATTCCAATAGTTTGTGAGTTTCCAGAAGTATTTCCTAGTAATATACCGGAATTGCCTCCAGTCAGAGAAGTTGAATTCTCCATTGACTTGTGTGGACACTCAATTTTGTCCGATACCACATCATAAAAAAAAGAATTGGACATTTTTATTTATTTTGTCCATCCTAGTAATACATTTTTATGAATGTCCGATACCACATATTCCCTACCATGGGCTAACCGCCCTAAGGATAATTTTCTGTTCCCTACCATGGGCTAGGCGCCCTATGGACAATTTTCATTCCCCACCATGGGCTAAGCGCCTTAGGGATCAGT